ATGTAATAGCGATTGTAATTTTTAGGAAAAAATATGGCATTATGTAAAATAAAAAGTATATTGTGTAACATTTGTAATAATTCTCAACTTATATCTATGTTTTTTTACAATGCATTTGGTAATAATTAGGAACAAGAATGTTGAAAAGCATAAACGTAAGTTTATTATAGAATTTAAACTTATGAGTTATTTTAAATGATACTGAGAGTACAAGGAACATTTATACAATAGGGAGATTTGGCTTTATTTTTTCTGATTATTTTCAAGTAATCGAATTATATATTATTGGAATGTACACATACAGAGACAGGTAACACTTGATTTTTTTACGGGACTTCCCATACTGTGGAGCTGTCGCTGCGTCTGCTATGCCTAACGTCAGCATGAGCATCTAAAACGTCGCTCAACTTGCTGAATCGTCTGGCCCAGCTTCCTCTACCGATACTTCCAGCCTCTCTCAAAACCGAAAGCAAGTCGTCATCGTCTTCTTTCCCCCTTATTTCCTTCTCGTACTTTTCTTCCTGAGCGATCAATCGTTCACGTTGTAGCTGAGTTGTCAGAGAATGCGGTACAGCCGGTATTATGTAGCTCATAATACCGGTAAGTGCGAAAACCTGTAAAAACGAATCTTTTTTTCTAACGAAATGGCTAATTTATTGCCTCATTAAAGAACAAGTTTATCGACTTACAACATGCTCGAAGACGACAACGAAGGCTAAACGCGCGGCAAAAACGTGCCAGTATTGTGGACTGAGTCCGTAAGGATCGGGATGGTCGGGACCATTTCTGTAGCCTCTATACTGACACGTTTCCGGATGTTTATCTTCCACATCACTTTTCATATCGTCGCGATAATCGGAAGTATTGAATTCTGATAGAGAGCTATCGATGTAACCCACCAAATCATTGGTGGGCGAATAAACGAACGCATATACGCTTCTCGGAATGAAGTCGGACGTGTACGCGATAACAAAAGCCTGAAATATATATTTTCATGATCGATTGAATACTAGTATGACTTGTGTGACCTAACGAAATTCGTTTATATATGCATTTACATTTGATACCACCGCCACGTAAGTTACACCCCTGAGAATACCAAACCAAGCGCCAATATCCTCCACTCGCTCGGCCAACGGTCTTCGGGCTTCCTTAATCATTTTGTACGCGTCCAATCTTATTTCAGCGATATTATTCAATAAAGCAAACAGAGGTGCTAATGGAAACGCTGCCACAAACAATGTCACAAATCCATATTGCAGAACTATAAAGATAAACAGTAGAAAGAAAAATATTTGTAAAATGTTTGTAAAATGATATTCCGTCGCATAAAATGCATAATGCGAAACTCACTCATTTCTAAATATTCGTCGAATAAAGCTAGTCTTCCCGGGTCTTGAAGTTGATAATCTTTTTCCCAACAGGTATATCTTCTGTCATGGTTCTTAGTCGCCGCGACTTGTGTTCTCTTACGCCACCAATTCCACATTTTCGGCGATAAAATCTCGACAAAATTGTTAAAGCATTGTTTACCAACCATTATAATCGCAAGTTGAATACAGACTTCCGAAAGGCAACCAGCGGGATCGCATACATCTGTTTTGATGCGATAAAATTCCGAGGCTCTCGCATCTGCATCACCAGGATGAACGAAAAATCTCCCCTAAGACAAATGAATATGCGACTCGAAATCCGATCAATCAACGTCGTTTAATGCTATATGTTAATATACCTTGAAAAAGGCGATGTAAATCAAAGAGGAGTAAAAGTTGACAAATTCGAATAAAAAGATTTTAAATGTATAACTAGCTTCATATTCCGTCTGCGTTCTTGGATTTTCCATATTGACCATCCAACGTGCCAAACGATGATATATTCGTGTGAGTATCATTATTATCACCAAGTTAATGAGAGCGGCAGTCATGGAAGTGAATATCTTTGCATGTCTTTCTAAAAAAGTGCCACCTCCACCATAAAAGACGGCGACTAACGAAATGCGATATACAATCGTCCCTAAAACCGCTCCAAGAACTACGCATATCTGCGTAAAAGTAATGATAATAATCTGTGATAAAATGTTTCTTTAACAAAAAAAAAAAGAAAAAATGGAAGTGCGTAATATAATTACCATAAAAAATACCATCGAACCAGTAGCTAAAAATCGGATGGCTTTAGACCATCGAGGCAAGTACGGTTCCCTTTCTTTTGTCACGGGATTTATTCGGAATGTTTTAACGGATGTCTCGAATTCAGGTCTGGGTTCTTCATCATACTCGGCATTTTGAAGATCCCATTCCCAAACGATCACAGCTTGTCGTCGTTTCCAAAGTTCGAGAAACGTAGTAGCTATCATACATGCAATGAGAAAGTTAAAATACAACGATACAACGATACGTGCGATCGTACGAAAAAAAATGTTATCTATCACTTTCTCCAGTCTTACCCCAAAAAGACATAAAAATAGCAAAGAAGACAGTTGCAGGATTGTCGAATAAGTAAGTCAATTTCGAGAATATACAGGAATCACCGAGCCTTTGATAAGTACACGCTTTATCACAAAGAGGACACAGAGTGATATTTCCTGAAATGTTGCATTACATAAGATTAAACAAAAACAAATTGTCGCAAAATGAATTTTTTTAATTATACGAGTCTTAGATTTAGTCTTAGATTTTATGCAAAATATAATACGCGAAGAGTTTACCAGCTAAATTAGGATCGCATATTTCTTTGCTAGGGACATTGTCTTCACCATCCATGCTTCCAAGACCGTAAACGAAGCATAAAAGTCCTACTACTGCCGGTGCATATAAGCATTTCGTGTAAAAGCCTAGCCACGCGAAATAAAGGGCGACTTTCTCACCAAAGTATCGTCTTATTAACCACAACGGTTGTTTTTTATACCTAAAAGTATGATATATGAAAAATATGAAGGATAGTTTTTCAAGTATTATGCGAATAATTCAATTTTTTATTACCATTGTGCTGGTCTCGCCCATATTAAATATAACAGATATCTATCAAGAATTTCTCCGTTACGCATGGGTTTGTTATAAGGACCTTCGTGCAAAGGAAAACAATCGAGGTACGTTCCGTCTGCTAAAAGCCTGCGAATACCAGATTTCTCATGATTCTCGTCATATCTCGCTCGCAATAATATTTGCATCACTATGAGCGATCTCTGGGCGGGCGTATAGGCATTGTCTTTCTCTTTCACGATAAATCTGCGGGACAGGAACAGGAAATTCAACTGGATATAATTGAATTTGATTTATACGCGTCGCTTAAAAATACCTTTCTTCACGATCGCCGGAGTCTATGTAGTCATAAAAATGTGGTTCCTCGGGATATTTGGATGTATCCCAAGTGTGTATCTTATGTATCCATTTGGCACACCGCATCCATCGTGCCCAGAATTTCGACATTTCTTTGGCACTGTCCGTATCCTACTTTTAAAATTTGGATATTACTTACGCAAATATATGGAATATATAACTATACTAGAACTGTGCCTGACCAAATGTTCTTAAAAAGAGACGCACCCAAGTTTGCACAGGAATCGTTTTGAATCTTTTCGTGGGTAGTTTCAGGCCCATTACTTCGGCATATTGCACTTTGATTTTCCAAGGTATGTGTAATTTTAAAAAGTACGTTTTTCCATCGAACGAAGTCTCCTTTGGTTCGAGCTCTAGTTGCAGACCTTCTTTCAAAAGATTCTGTTGAAAAACCTTTCTCTGCTCTCGTCGACGAGCTTCCAATTCGGTCATAACTCCTTCGTTTTCTTCTTGATAGACCAATACCATATCGATTCTTCGGTGACCGTCGCTAAAATTAAATCGAATTGGCTAATAATACCGCGAAATATTAAAAAAATCCCTTTAAAAGATGACCTAATTCGATAACGACAACGTGTCATCTCACACACGCATGTTTTACATCGAGCGTTTCTAAAAATAAAGGACAGCTTCTAAAATAAATTACTTTCCGCACTTTTCTTTCCCAAGTTGTTAGCTCTCGAGTATGTTCGAGTAACGATAAAAAAGAAAAGAAATAATAAACAAATAACAATGTTCTAGAGTCTAGAGAATCATATTAATGTTCTAGAGTCTAGAGAATCATATTAATAAATTCATCACAATAGAAATGAATGCTTATGTTCCCCTATATGTATCGTATGTGTATACGTAGCACACGTCTCGGCACTCGATTGTCGAAGACTCAAAGGAGGTATCAAAATAACTCGTGACATATCGTCCTGGTGGACACTACTCACCGAAAATAAAGTAACTCGGGATCGATTTCCGTTTCCGCCTCTTTCGGCGGCAATGAATCTCCGCCGGTTTCCGCAAAGTCCAACGAAACTGGCGTATCCGGCAGCGAATGATTGATATCCGGACTAGTGGGTGCAGTGAGTTTGGGACCTTGGCCAGTTTAAATAGAATTATCTATTTTTTTTTCTTTTTTTTTCCTTTTTTTTTTTACCACATATTCGCGACTCATTTTCGAGTCGATTCAATCGGTCAACATCTGTCTGTCACCATTTCGATGTAAATGCCGGATACTTAATAAATTAGAGCAAATAATAATAATTAATAATATTATAAACTTTCTTTTACAAGACTTTGCGCGATTCGCTTCACCTTGAAAGCATCCGTAATGCCTATAATTCTGTAGCATAGTTTCGCAAAAGTAAGACGCTATTAGGAAAAAGAGTAAAAAGTTAAATGGGAAGTTAGACCGCGCATTTGTAAGATGATAATACTAGAGCCGAGTCAAACGTTGCATTATTAACATCCGATATTCGTGACACGCTGACATTCGTACGCATATTGATCGAGGTTTACTGACATAGCTTTATTGCCGTTATAGACAACCGCGGGTTTCCACGGGCGACTCGTTCTATTCTCTTTACGTACGTTCGCGTAGATTGTATCGCGTGTCCGATTTATGTCCGATTTAACAAATTCCGTTATTAAAATGTCGTACGCGTGGAGCTGGCTAAAATTAATTTTACTGTCGAGCAAACAAGAAACTTTGTGCCGTTTAAAGCGCGTGGCGAGAGAAAATTCGAAAACATTGATAAACTATTATCGAGCGTATATATACGCTCACGTCGGTCTTGCATCGACCTTGAAACGAGATCCCGCCGATTAACACTACATAAATTAATTCTCACCAAAGGCATCCTGTGCGATCACATTCGTTCCGGATGGATATACGCTGGCTCTCGATAATCTTCTCTTGATACTCGCCGGCGTTCCGCCAACCGGTAAGCCGTTTTTGTCGGGCTCGTAAATGATCTCCCTGCACACGGTAGAGATCAATTCGGGAGATTTCGGCGCATTGGACTCGGTCTTGGTCGATTTCGCTGAGGACGTGCGAGAGGAGATGTTCCCGGAGCCGCTCGATTTCTCATCGTTGAATTGATGCTCGACCGGACTATTGTCGTCGGGGTGAAGAAAATTGCCCCAACTGCTAGGCCTTTGGCTGTGGTTTTGCTGAAATTATTCAGGCGTTTATTCAGCTTTTCCACCGGGAAATTTCATTACTTTAGCTCGTATGTCCTACTTGTATTTCCGGTAATTTTGTAATGGAATTCGTCAGCGATAAAATAAGCGAGAGATTAAAAGAAGACTATTCGCGAAGACGCGATAAAACGATTGGACGATCGTTATCTTAATTATCTTTAAACGCCAAAAATAAATAATATAAATGCTTGGTTAATTTGACGATTTAGCAAAAAAAAAGAAAAAAGAAAAAAAAAAAGAAAAAGTATATCACGTCGGTTAGATGATTAGACTCGATGTAAATGTAAGTAACATGCAAGTTTGGTATAATGAGTACTCTTTCGCTTTACAGCTCTCCGATGAGATGATAGACGCAGATATCGATCCGAGCTGTTTTGATGTATTTATTAAGATATGTGCATCTCTATGCATTTAGATGGATCACTTAGATATTAGAATCGCGAACTCGGCGTAAATGTTTCGCGTTATCATTCGTCCTATTTTCTCTATATACATATATGTGCTCGCGCTACACTTGACTGTAGTACTTTGCATATTTACATATATATGTATATTACTAAACGGTAACTCACTATGAGAAATATTCTCACATGCGCGGGATGCAAAACCGATTTTTGGAACGGTGCTAAGTATACCTGGCTGTCATCGTCTACTTGCGGCTTGTTATCATCCATGTTGATCTCCTCCGTGTTTCTTTTAAGATACGCTCGCACAGCTCGGAAGACTTTCGATGGACAGTACTAAAAGCGTCGACGATCGGTTCGATAACATCTTTTCTTTTCTTTTTTTTTACGAAAACGACGGACTTTTCGCGATAATTGTTCCAACTCGTCGATTACTCGTCGATCCGGGCGCGACAAGTCGAGAAGAATTCTTCGTTTCCCGAAAGGATCATGACGGGATGGTCCGATGTTTCTGTGACGCCGTCGATACTTCCGGCGAGCTTCTTTGATGACGTTTGTTAGTTAATCGCAAGGGAAACGGGCATCGATTGGTGTCGATAGCTTGGATAGCCACGGCAGTGGCCTCGTATCGGTGAAATGTGAGTCGTTGAATTATGAATGAAGCGCGACTCAACCCCGCTCGAAGAAAATGCGGTTGGTGGTCAGGGTCTTGCACACGGAATGCCCTTACGAAGGTACGAGCGAAGACACTTCGAAAAAAAGAAACCTCGCCCATTTAATCGCCTCGGGGATGTTTTTACGCAGCGAAACATGATGTTGGATCGTTAACGCGTTTTAATTCAACATCGTCGTGTTCAGCGCTTCCATTCGTTTCCTTTAACTTTCACACTTGAATCGAATCGTCTATATATAATCATCCGCAATTGGTTTGTACTCGCCTTCATTCCTTCATTCTTTCAATACCTTTAAATTTTAAACAATATTTTTCCATATTTATCGTTCTTTCTGCCATTACAATTCGCTTCTTCTTTTTTAATCACCGTCAGTCGCAATGGACAATCACATCAAAGATCTCAGAGTCCGAACGAAGAGAAAGTGGAGTGAGATTAAAGTTTACACGCGTAATTCGTTGTATCTTTTATCGTGTCGAATTGTTGAAGAACGTATCGGACGAATCGTCCTCGATCGAGCCGCTCTTTCGCGACGGTGGTGTGACATATACTGACCAGAGGATAACAGAGGAACAATATATATCTTATATATCCGCATACGTATCGCCCCGTCAGTGTCCTTTATTTACGTAGTCGTACACCGCGGGGGTGTGTACACGTGTGCATTACCTCCGTCTTCGGGGGTGAAGATTTCACTCATTGTGAGAAGGGGGTGGAAGCGACCGAGCGGTGGAATGTCGAGGCTTTCGGAATTACTATGGTTACCCAATGGACACAACATATGTGTTACATATGTCGCGTTAATGTATCGTCGTCGACTCTTCCTTTGAGCTTGAACTTGAAATGTCGGCTTCGCGGGCCGCGAACGAAATAAAAACGCGCGAATGGTCTACGCGACATTCACACTCGTCGTTCTGCGAGTCGCGCGCAAACACGAGGATAGTCTTTTACAAACCGAGGATAGTCACAGAGTTTTTAGAACACGGTATATTTACTTTTTAGAAAATTGCATCTCAATCGAACGAGTTCAGCATTGATTTCTCCGATCGAGTTGGCATTTATTTGCACCAACCTACGTTACTTTCCTATTTCGATTACTATCTCGCATTGGCAAAATGAGATTTACCTTAAGGTAAAATGTGTACTACGCAGGGTTTTATCAATTTTCTTAATTATATATAAAGAATTTTATTCAAGTCTATAAGCTAAATTTAATTATTCGAGATCGCTCATGCATTGAAATCAAATTTGTTCAAATTGATACATTTAAAATAAATATGAAATATTTATATTAATCATTCGTGTCTATTGTGACTCTTCTCATGTACCTAGTCAATTTTTTCCACTTATGCTAATTCAAATACTTCTTATTTATTATTTAAAAATATATTTATTATTATGCTTAATATAATAATGCCTTCTCTTTCTGTTTGTCCTTCTCTCTTCTCTTCATCTTATTGATTTTCGTGTAGATATAACTAGCTTTTAATTTTTTTCAATCGTCTCTGCTAATATTTCCGCAGCGTAATATAATAAATGAACTGTCGGTAAAGTAGCCAAGATCGAAAATAATTTATTACATCACAGAATTACGGTCGAGAGATACGAAAGAGCTCGAAATTCTTTTTCCGATGATTCTTTAAAAAATTTTACTCCTACGAGATACCTGCACCCTTCGATAATTTTAAATTTGAGGAAGATCATTTCGAACGAATTTAAATCAATCGCGAAAACGATCGAGTTGCGTCAATAATTTATGAAGATTGTTCATACAGCGTTACATCGACAAGTTTCAGTCTCGTTATTATCAATAGAGATATTAAATCAATTTACATGAATCAATAATCGCGATAAAGATTTGAATTAGCGAGTGAATAAAATTTCGTCTCGCATTTGACTAAAGACGTAGCATCATTCGCCATATTTACAACGCTCTTGTAGTCAACAGACATCAGACACCTGTATCGTATCGTGCAGACGCTTGCATGCCAGCGAAGGAATTTGTGCGTGTTACATTCTCTTGTAACGATCACGTCATTTGCAACAATCGAACATCTCTTTCAATTTAATCCAATTGAATAAGAAAGCTGGGAGAGTTCTATGTTCGAGAACAAGAGCGACAAGCGCATCGTGGGGAGAAGCTAGACACTCCGGATTTGAGACTCGAGTACCCTGCTGGGTGTGTCATAATGCGTGCTATTCTAGCCTTGATATGCGCGATTCTGCAAACGGGTAAGGAGTATTTATTGAACGCAAATTTCGCACGCGCGTCCGACGCGAAATGATCGAAATACGATCGTCCCGTCGATAACGCCCGATATTTACTCTAACTAAAAAAAAAAAAAATACTTTTTTCATTCAACAAACGACATGTATCGAGACATGCGGCTTCATTTCTCAACTCGCGCATATGCCCTTGAGGCTTCCATGGTATTTTCAAAAAAGTTAATACAAATATGTTATAATACAAACAACAAATATGTTAATAAAATATGTTTACGAATATTATCCGTGTCATCATACATTGTTAAATGCCAATGGCATTTCGTGAACGTTGCAGTTCATCGCTTCATCATGAGGATGAGGAGCAGCTACTGATAATCATGCTACTCCTCGCCTATGATGAATCATTGGTTTCTGTTTCAGTTACGGCCCAACGAACTCCGACGATATCATACACGTCACAGGAACAGATTAAGGATATTGGAGAAACGGTGGAAATGCAATGTTCCGTTCAGTACGCTCAAGAATATCCTGTCTTGTGGATCAAATTTAATAAAGACAGTCCACACGAGCAAGTAGCACTTTCTACCGGCACTGCATTGATAATCAGAGATAGTAGATTCTCTCTTAAGTATGATACAGCGTCTAGCACTTACATCTTACAAGTAATATTTTATTGGAATCTTTCTAATCCATGAGATATATCCATTATTTAAAGCAACAATAACGTACGAAATTAACCTGAAATTTTAGATTAAAGACATACAAGAAACGGATGCTGGATTCTATCAATGTAGAATACAAATATCCGTAAACAATCTCGTGAGCGCAGATGTGGAGTTGCAAGTTCGTAGGCCACCGATAATTAGCGATAATTCGACTCAATCACTGGTGGTTAGCGAGGGACAACCTGTCCAACTGGAATGCTATGCCAATGGCTTTCCACCGCCAAGGATATCATGGCGTAGAGAAAATAATGCTATTTTACCCACCGGAGGATCGATTTATCGGTACGATATAATTAACACAAAATTATTATTATTATTATTATTATTATTATTATTATTATTATTATTAAAATCTTATTAAATATATAATTATTATTAAATATCTGGAAAATAATGTTTTATTCGTCAAAATCCAAAAATGTTGCAGTGGTAATACGTTGAAAATATCTGCTATACGTAAAGAGGATCGCGGAACGTATTATTGCATCGCTGAGAATGGAGTTGGACGCGGTGCTAGACGTAATATTAACGTAGAGGTCGAATTTGCGCCGGTGATCACGGCTCCTAGACCACGACTCGGACAAGCTTTGCAATACGATATGGATTTGGAGTGTCATGTGGAAGCGTATCCTCCGCCAGCTATCATCTGGCTCAAAGATGACATTCAGTTATCGAATAATCAGCATTACAGCATATCACACTTTGCAACCGCGGATGAATACACCGACACAACGATTCGAGTTATTACCATAGAAAAACGGCAATATGGAGAATACGTATGTCGCGCAGCTAACAAACTAGGCACTGCTGAAACGAAAGTCGAGCTTTTCGGTAAGAAGATGGAGAAAAAAGAAAGATTTCGTGTATTTATATGTGTATTTATATATGTTAGTTATAGATAATGTACGTTATAGATAGTTACAACATAGTTGTACATAATTAATTATGTTGGATGACAAACGACTCTTTATCGATATGTCGGCTGTGCATGACAATGATGAAATTTTCATCAGGTCATATCAGTTATCTCAATGCAGCTGTTATATCAATTATGAATTTCAATTCTCAATCTTCAATGTGTATTTTATATTTTTTAGTACGATTTATTATCTTACTTATTATCGATTTTTTTATTTTTTGTTAGCATTTTAGTTAGCATGTATTAGATTTGTTCCCTCTTCTGTTTATGCAGAAACCATTATTCCTGTTTGCCCGCCAGCATGTGGTCAAGCTCATTATGGAACTGGCGTAATTCCAGTTTCTTCAGGACCTTTGATAGTTGTAGTTTTATTAATTACAATGGTAATGAGGTAAGTCACATTTTGAATATTCTCCAAAGTAATAATAATCTAAATTACTCATACTATTTGATTATATGATGATATTTCGCATTGGGTTTTATATTTATTCTTAAATACATACATGTTTGTTATTTATAGAAATTTCAACGCCAAATATTAATTACCCGGGCCTGCAATGGGCAGCGGCGAGTCAATGCAATCTTTTAAAGTGGCTCTTCGCCGTCAGCTTTATTATTATCGTAATAATGCTGTAAGACCAAAACTTAAATTGTAAGGGCCTCAATAATATTTTACTAACTTACTTTCTATATTTGTATAATGCGATTATTTTTATAGTTATTTACAAACAGATCAATTTATCATTATTGGAAAATGAGCATATCGTGACACGATGTGTCACCATGTCGGTGCAGCTGTTGATAGAAATTTAATATCATTATTTACACATTTTCGGATTTTTATGATATTTTCACTTTTAGAATCTTTTCATGTATATAGAGATATTATAGATATATTTAATATCTTATATATATTATAGATATATTTAATATCTATAGATATATTTAATATCTAATTTTTATATTGGAAAATTTATATTTAATCTATTATGGACGTTACTTTTGAATCTCTATGATTCACCCCTTTTTCTTATAATTGCGTAATAACGCCGCTCAATTTTTACATCGAAATTTGAATTTTATTTAAATGTTAAGCGTAATCCACAAGCTGCGTTTTGAATCCAGAAAAAGGGATTTGATAATAGATGTAATGCGATTTTCATAAATAATTTTGTCATGCTGATATAGTACTTGTTGGCATTTTAATTATTAGAAAAGATAATTCATGTCATATAAATCTCTTATAAATATAGACACCAACGATATATAGATGTTGGAAAGATTCAAGCTAACATTCCAGTACACATTTACGATGACACACAATGTTATATAACGCGGCAAGTAGATAGCATAACTTCTTGGCCTCAGTATTACTGATAGGTGATGGAGAAGTAAATAATAATGATGTTACAAAAACATATTGTATTATCATACCTATAGTTATCGGTAGAGCAAATCGACAATACGGATTTGTAGAATTATCTAATTATCCCGTTAACGCAAAAGAATTTGAAATGTCATGAACAAAGAAAATAATGTTGATGTTAGTGCCTTGTTCGTGATATAAAAAAATGTAATTTATGTTAGAAGTAAAATTATAAATGTGTATAAAATATAGACAACATAACGTATACGTGTATCAATTGCACGTATGTAACATAACATTTTACGTATTTTATTAAGCACATACTTCTATTTACTGCACACTTATATCGCGATCTCTTTAACAAGGTAAATTTCATGTAACTCATCGATTGTATCATATAAATGTTGTACAACCGATATAAGAGAAAGTAGGAAAAGAGAATCTCAATGAAAAGAATCTCAGTTTTTATATGCTCTTTACAAGTTTTCAATTTTATACTTGCTAATATTGTATTCAATTTGACGCCATGATACTCATAATATTTATAATAATTCTAACATTCACAATATACACATTGTGAACAATTGTGAATATCAAATGTATTACAACTATATAATGTCAGTAGCAAGATTTTATACAGATACCGTTTGTACTACGATATTGCATTTTATTACTTAAAATTTCGTGCGTCTACATATTTAGCTAAATTTATGTATGAAATAAGCAATAAAATTTTATAAATAAGATATTTCTTATTCTTTTTATGTATAAAGGAACCTCTATTTTATAACTTGAAAACGGCCTTGCTTATATCTCCCTTCTTTAACGTGTCGAGAGCTTCTTTATATTGGCTCAAGGAAAATACTTTGATTCCTAATTTATTGTAATCAAGATATTTTTCAGACATTGACTGTACCAAAGCTATTCCTTTAAGAAAACAATAGGGATTTATATTCACGCCTATGATGTTTAATTCCTTTTTGTAAACCTGTAATAACAATTTTTAATTAAAAAAATATTAAGACTTTCAACTGGTAAGTATATGATAGGTTTACCTGAAATGGTTCAATCGATATTTTTGCTTTTGAGTTAGCGACGCCGAAAACGCATAAGCGACCACCTTGACCCAACAAAGACACAGCCGATTCCATAGCTGGAGCATAACCGCTACAATCCACAGCTAAGTCATACTCCTCTTTTAATTCGGTCGGATTTTTAATTTTATAATCGAGACCTATTGGGATATAAATATATCTCCCTTAGGAAGAGAAAAAAAATATTTTTCATATTTTTAATATTATTCAATATTACCCAGATTAGAGGCAATATCTTTTCGCTTCTGTTGCGGCTCACTGATAGTGACAGTCTTTCTGAGGCCGTGTAAATGAAGTAGACAAGCCCATAATAAGCCTATAATACCGGCGCCTATTACGAGAACCTTGCTTCCTATATTTACAGGATTGATTTTGTCCCACCCATGAGCCATGCACGACAATGGCTCGGTTAGCGCAGCTTGGCGCATTTCAATTTCATCTGGGATTAAATATACCTATCGGATTGTATTATATAAATAATATGAATATCACGACGTGAAGAATAATAAAACAATAAGATTCGTTTCGTTTAAACAAAATGTTTCAAAGAGATGCTTTTCAAACGATAATTACATCTTTTTGATCAATTTAAAATCCCATCATTTTAAAAACCCTTTTTTAACATAAACATAAATTTTTTTAAGAGCATGTCGTTTTATAGCCTCAAATTAAAATTCTATTAAAGTAAACTTGACAATAGTTTTGTTACTTACTCGATTTCTTGAAATTTAATCCGTGAGAGATTTTTTTTATATCATAAAAATTAGGAAAATGCTTCGATAATTTTATATAAAAAAAAAAAGATCACTATCACCAAGTTATAGTAACAGCAATAAATTCTTTTTACTTAAAAAACTTATTGCTGTAAGTCGCAAGGACGTCTGGGTCTTTCGGCGCATTCCTGGAGCTTTGAAGCATATATATTTGTATATGTACCTGCGTTTCTGGGACAAGCGCGTGCGTAGCCCATCCTCCATCTCTGTAAATTCCTATAGTGCTATTTAGACCACCGCGCTTACAAAAAATGATAATTCGCACTGT